CTGGGCTGAAATCTGGAAACTTCTGTCTGAAATCCTGGAATTTTGGGCTGGGATTTTGGGGTGAAATCCTGGAATTTTGGGCAGGAAGTCCTGGAATTTTGGGATGAAATCCTGGATTTTTTTTCGGAAATCGTAGAATTTTGGCTGGAATTTTGGGCTGGAATCCCCGATTTTTGGGCCAGAATTTCGGGCTGAAATCTGGAATTTCAGGCTGAAATCTGGATTTCTGGGCTGGAATTTCGGTCTGAAATCTGGAATTTCATGCTGCAATCTGGATTTTGGGCTGCAATCTGGAATTTTGGCTGGAATTTCATGCTGAAATCTGGATTTTGGGCTGAAATCTGGATTTTTGGGCTGCAATCTGGAACTTCGTGCTGCAATGTGGATTTTTGGGCTGGAATTTTGGGCTGAAATCTGGAATTTCGCCTGGAGTTTCATGCTGAAATCTGGAATTTCGTGCTGCAATGTGGATTTTGGGTTGAAATCTGGAATTTCGGCTGGAATTTCGTGCTGCAATGTGGATTTGGGCCGGCACCTCTCGCTCTGACCCCGCTGCTCCTCGGCCATGTCCCGGTTTTTCCCGTTTTTCCCGGTTTTTCCCGTTTTTCCCGTTTTTTCCCGTTTTTTCCCGGTTTTCCCGTTTTTTCCCGTTTTTCCCAGTTGTTCCCGTTTTTCCCGGTTTTTCCCGTTGTTCCCGGTTGTTCCCGTTTTTCCCGGTTTTTCCCGGTTTTTCCCGGTTTTTCCCGTTTTTTCCCGGTTGTTCCCGTTTTTTCCCGGTTGTTCCCGTTTTTTCCCGTTTTTCCCGGTTTTTCCCGTTTTTCCCGGTTTTTCCCGTTGTTCCCGGTTTTTCCCGGTTTTTCCCGTTTTTCCCGTTTTTCCCGGTTTTTCCCGTTGTTCCCGGTTTTTCCCGGTTTTCCCGGGGCACTCCAGCCCCACCCGCCCAGCGGGGCCGGGACGCCGCGCAGGAAAATTCAGTGCAAAAACAGGAGGGGCCCGAGGGCGCCGGACCAAGGCACAGAACGGGAGCCCGGGCACGGCACGGGCACCGGCAAGGGCACCGGCACGGGCACAGCATGGCACCGGCACGGGCACCGGCACCGGGACGGGCACCGGCATGGGCACCGGCACCGGGACGGGCACAGCATGGCACCGGGACGGGCACCGGGACGGGCACGGGCACCAGCACGGGCACAGCATGGCACCGGCACCGGCACGGGCACGGGCACCAGGATGGGCACCGGCACCAGGACGGGCACTGGCACGGGCACCGGCACGGGCACAGCATGGCACCGGGACGGGCACCGGCACAGAACCAGCACGGGCACGGGCACAGGCACCGGCACAGCATGGCGCCGGTACGGGCACGGGCACCGGTACGGGCACCGGCACCGGTACCGGTACCGGTACGGGCACAGCATGGCACCGGTACGGGCACGGGCACTGGTACAGGCACCAGCACGGGCACAGCATGGCACCAGGATGGGCACCGGCATGGAACCGGCACTGGCACGGGCACTGGCACCGGCAGGGGCAACGGCACGGGCATGGAACCGGCACCGGCACCGGCATGGGCACAGGCACCAGTACGGGCACCAGCACGGGCACGGAACCGGCACAGGCACGGGCACGGGCATGGGCACCGGCACCAGCACAGCATGGCACCAGGACGGGCACGGGCACGGAACCGGCACAGCCCCGGCCCCGGCACGGGCACCAGTACGGGCACTGGCACCGGCACGGGCACAGCATGGCACCGGCACGGGCACAGCATGGCACCGGCACCGGGACGGGCACCGGGACGAGTCCCAGGCGGTCTCGGTACCATGACCAGTTCCTTTCTTTCCTTTCTTTCCTTTCTTTCCTTTCTTTCCTTTCTTTCCTTTCTTTCCTTGTCTTGGGTTTTTT